TTATAAAACCCTGACCCGAATATATTAAGTGCTTGAATATTGAGTTCGTTTTTAATAGTAATAAGTTATGAAAATTTTGCTATAATATATTAAAAATAGTTATTTAATATAATAAACATATTAAATTATTTATCTATCGCAAATTATTATAAGAAAATGAGTATAAAAATCTTATCAATTTAATAAGTTGAGTATATTTGGTGTCACACACCCCGGCGCGATAGGGGTGTGTGACACCCCCCCATCAATGATTTTTAGTCGGCAAACTGGACCCTTAGTCGGCAAATCGGACCTTTTTAGACTAGTTAGTCGGCAAATGTCGACCCTTTCGATATAGGTTAGACAGTTGGCAGTAATGGCAGTCGTCAAATTTTGGGAAAACGAGGACCTTTTTTTTTTTTTTTTTTTTTCTCTTTAGTCGGCAAAAGTTGTAATGGCACCCCCCCCCCCCCCCACGTAACACCTACTCGCGCCGGCCCTGTATATATGTATATATATATATATATATATATATATATATATATATATATATATATATATATATATATATATATATATATATATTGAAATATTGATTGATCATGATTGATAAAAAAGTTAACATTCTGAAATCAAAGAAAATTTGAAACTTTTATGAAAGTTTAAAAAGATAGACGTAAAATGCATATATGGCATTTCCAAAAAATCACGCACGGAAAATCTTATTATGTTTTGTCTATTATTTTTGTAATAAACTAGCTATTTCAAATTTACTCTCATTTAACTTTTTGTAAACCAAAAAATTACAAAGTTTTATGTCTTGTAAACGCAGCAATTATCTATTTCTGATTATTCTCTGGATTAAAAAACGGTTCATTAATCAACTGGCATATGAACCAAAATAGTTTTAAAACTAATAAATGAAAAGTTAATCAACAAAATCTTTGAAAAAGGTAAAAAAAGGCGCTTAAAAATAAATTTTTTGAGCTTTTCAGGAAAAAATAGAAAGTTTTGCAACCAAGAGCTTCCTAATCCGTTTAAGGTCTTCTAGCAGCTCTCCAATCATGGTAATGGCTTCAGATTGCAGAAGACGAGTAACGTCGTTAAACGCAGTCAGGCTTTTGTACCAAATCGTAATAACCAATATAAATTCAAAATATGATTTTAAAGCTCTTGCTGAGCTGCTCACTATCAAACTCAGATTTTCCATGGCATGTTTAAGAGCTGCTAACATTTCTTCGGTCTCTTGACAAGTGGTTTGATCGCTTAGATACAAGAGATTGATCTTGTCACAAAAAAATCTATGAAATTGCTATTGCTTCAGTGAAGATTTTCCATCGAGCAGGGTTTGAACTTAAAAATAGATACAAAGATTTAGCATTTCCAAAGAATACTTTGATCTCAATGATTCAACTGTGTGCATACCAGCCAAATTCAAACAGTGAGCAATACAGGGAACGTACAGAACTTCCGAATAATTTTTTGCCTTATTAAGGCTTGAGCTCACTTGTAAACACCTGGCATATTGGATCCATTATCGTATCTCTGACCGTGACAATTTCGAATATCCAAACCTAGCCTTGCAATCACATAAATGTTGTCTGCGCTGTCTGTGATGCATTGGGGGTACCATTAACTCTGATGGTGAAGTAGATACATCTTGGATTTCTATGAAAGCTACACTTCACATGACATCACCACATTCTGTTGAGCTCATTTTCAGACGACAGAGAGAAGTAATGGGCACTCGTTCTGGATCCCTCTTGTTGATGGCGTCCTACATCTTCCAAATGAGATGCAGTGACGTGGTTGTAGCCATAAATAAGCTTATGAATACTGCTTTTGTGCCCAAGATAAAGCAAGGGAAAAGGTAGAGAGCTTTTATGGTCGAGTCCAAAGTCAAAAAATCTCTTTTTGCTTTTTCTTTATTAGACAAACATTGATAAAACACATTTAAAGGAAAGATTCTCTTTTTAGAATCATGGGAATAATTTCGTTGCTTCAAAGAATGTGAAGGGGTCCCTTTAAAATGATTACATCTTGAACTTTTTTACTCAAAACAAATAGCCGAAAAGAGGGTTCAACATTAATTATTACAAAGTCAGGTAATAATTAATGCTAACCCCTAAAGGGTCAGCATTATTTACTACATAATCATTAATTAGAGCATCAAATTCTACCCTGCTTGAAAAAGTTCTTTCTTCTAACTTTGATGTCACTTTGAAATTCCTTTAGCTCAGATTCAGATGAATTGCTTTAAACTCCCACTGATCGGCAGTCTTTCGAATTACGCGTATTGAGTGCAGGAAGTTATCTTGAAAGAGGAGGAGAGCTCACTAATTTTTCTTGGCACTCATAGACTGACTGGGATTCAAGGTCATTATAAGAAGGATCATTAAGAAAAAAAGTTACTAATAACAACAAAGATTATAATGCCAGAGGATTAGAAGGAAAAAAATACAAAAAACAGTTAACTTAATGGAGGGCTTAATTGATTATTCTTAGAAGAAGCATTTTCTTTTTTCTGTGTTATGGTTGTAAACGCCATATTTTCTAAAGTCTGTCTATTTTGCTTCTTCTGCTGCTTTTTTAGTAGCTTTAAACCCATTTTTCAGAAACACCCAAAATGTTTTGTAATTTATAATTAGGTTATAAACAAAGGTTTCAATATCATATTTTCGCATTTTCAATATCATATTTCCTTTCTGTGTTTTCCACAAATCGGTAGTTTTATTCAAAAATACATAAATATTTTTATAAATTATTAGATAAAAGAATACAAATTAGATTTTATTTAATTACGATTTTGACTTTTTTAGTGTTTGCTTCTTGGATTTTTTGGTATTTTTTCGTTTAAAACTAATCAATTGCCTCAGATTTTATTGATGAAGATACCATTTAAAATACTTTAATTTCCAGCAAATTTGTCCTATTTAATACATTAAAATACATCAATTCTTAAGAGAAACGTTGTAAACAAAGTATAAGCTTTTTTTTTCTAACTTGTCAACCGCAAAAATAACAATTTAAAACAAAAATTAAAATATTTTTACAACTCTTTTAGAGTCCCAAGAAGTCCTTACGGTCTTCCCACAGAGCACATTATTCCTAACCGATTCATAATCAATCTTGCATAACTTGTAATTGCAATTGTGGGTGATAAGTGCGTTGATTATGAAGCAATGTCAAAATTTTGCATGGGCTGTAGAGTATGAAAAAATAAAAAAGCTTCACCACGATACAATGCTTGGAAAGCTCAACATGCCTGTCATATAAATCATAAACAATCTTCTGGGTCAATGGAAGCAGCTGGTGCTGTAAAAATATTTGCACGTTCAATTAAAAATAACAATATTATTTATACTCATTATCTTGGAGATGGAGATAGCTCATCTTTTAAAGAAGTAATAAAGTCTGATCCCTATAAAGACTATAAAATAATTCCTGAAAAGTTAGAGTGTGTTGCACATGTTCAAAAAAGAATGGGTACACGGTTACGAAATTTAATCAAAAATTACAAAGGAAAGCCAACTCCACTAGGTGGAAAAAATAAGCTCACAGAAAATGTGATTAATAGTATGCAAAATTTTTATGGTTTAGCTATAAGAAGTAATACAAATAACATTTATGCCATGAAAAAGGCAATATGGGCTATTTTGTTCCACTGTACTGGATATTCAAATCAAGAGTTTCGCCACTGCTTTTGCCCAAGAACTGAAACTAGTTGGTGTCAACATCAATATGACAAATTACATAATACTTCAAATTATAAAGAACATATTAATTTACCATTATGGATTAGTAACCTTTTGAAACCAGTGTTTAAAGATCTATCAAATGAAGAATTATTGTTAAAATGTGTACATGGGCAAACCCAAAATGCAAATAAAAGTCTTAATGCATTGGTTTGGTCTCGTTGCCCTAAAAACATATTTGTTTGTAAACAAACTTTTAAAATGAGTATTAATTCAGCAATTTTACACTACAATGATGGTACTGAAAGTGTTAAAAATGTTTTACTTTCATTTGGACTATCAGGCGTTGTTACAAATTCTAAATCTTATGAACAAAATGTTTCACGTGTAAAGAGCATGGAGATCAAGTCAAGTGAAAAAGTAAAAAATAGAAGAAAAAGTCTCAGAGCAATAAAAAAAAAGTGATAAACTCTGATAAACAAAGTCAAAATAAAACATCATTTTATGTATCAGGAGGGTTTTAAACATATTGTATATATATTTTTAAACATATTACAACTTTATTTTACGTTTTATTGAATATTGATTTTTTGCAAGATTTTGTAACTTCAAAACCAAATATCTTAAGTTAGAAAAATTCAATTTACTTGAAATTTTCACAGTATCTTTAGTATACATATAAAGTTCATTTGAACTAAAATCTTATAATAATTAAATGTATTTATTGCTTATTATTTGTTTTTTATTCTCAATTTGGTATTTTTTTTTTTAACGCATACATAATAAATGATGTATATTTTTTATTCTATTAAGATTCAATGTCATTTTAGTTCAAATGAATTATCTATTGTTGAAACCTACAAAAATTCATTGTGATTTGTTGATTATATTGATTTTTAACATAAATTCAAACTTTTTTAGAAGTTCTTGGGAAATAACAATAGTTTTTAAAAGAATTAGGTTTTTTCTAGTCCTACCACCTTAAATGTCAACTCAATGTTTATAATACTCTTTGTTTTATGTTCAAATGTAAAACTAATTCTTCACCAGTTTCTTTCCATGATTTGTATATGTTAAAAGATAAAAATAAATACTTTTTACGCAATAACAATTTTATTAAGCAGCCATTTTTTCAAACTAACTTGAGCAAATTCTGCATTACTTCTCGCGGACCATTCTTATGGAACAAAATTGTCTTAAAAAACTTTTCTCAAGATTTTATCCAACATTGTAACTACAATTCTTTTAAACGAAAGTTAAAAGAATTAATTTTAACAATTGACGATCTATCAATTTACTTTTAATAATTTTTAATAGTTTTCCCATTTTACCTCCACTTATCAAAGAACTATTATTATTTTATAATTTATATATTTACCAAGAATATGTATCAATATATACGACAATTTATATGTTTATTAACTTATATAGTATTTATATAACTGATCTTTATATTTATAACGGGTTTTCTGAATATTTTTAATTTGTTTGTATCATGTTCATTTTAGCGGTTCTCGACGACAAGACCTTACGGTCTTCTACAAGTCCCCGCGTTCTTTTATTTCTTATTTACGATTTTTCTTTTTTGTTATTTTCTTGTAACTTCTATATTTTATTTTTTAATTTGTATATTTATAACGGAATGTTGTTTAAAATGTAATAAAGAGCAAAAATAAAAAAAAGAAAATTAAAAAATATATATATATATATTTTCCTGTTATTTTAACATTAGAAATAAGAAATAACAATGAAATATTTTTAGTCATATCTCTTGTGCGCGTGGAGTTGGGTTTGTTTAGCAAGAATGAGAGAATTTGGATATATTGTTTATTGTCGTAATATTTGAGCAAATTCAATAAAAAAGAGCGCTCTTCTTCAATTACTGAAACCAGGATTCTATTAAATTTCCTTTAGATTTTTGTTAGATTCTATCGAGCAACTCAATCAAAGAAAGGTTTCCTATTTGTCTAAAAATACTTGCATGAGAATATTTAGTTGGCGGGTTTCTTTAATCAACTCTTCAAAAATCTTTTACCTAGAGTTTTGCCAAGGTAGCACAAATTTATTTGTGCTATCTTGGCAAAACTCTTGGTATTTATAACAGAATTTTCATTTATTTCTAATCAAAAAAATCGTTTGCAATATTTGAGTAGTACACTTCACATTTTTTCTACTGAGAAATGACCCATGAAATGATAACCTGAATATGATCATACATAGTGCGATCCTGTAAATTTCTGGAAATCTTTACTAATATTTAGAATATTATTTAAAAAATAAAAGTATACTGATAAAACTTGTATATTCCGAGATCAATTCTGAGGTCCTATTTGTTTTTTGGGCTTAATTGAATATAAAATTTAAAAGGATATAACTAAGTACATTGAAAATATTTAGTTGATATAACAGTGGTTTGGCATAAGTATAAAAGTCTTGAAGTTTATTAGACGTGCTAATAAATACATGTAACTTTCCAGTTTTTTTTTTTTTATTACTTCTTATATCAGCCATTAGAGCAAGTATCAATTTAATTCTGATATAAACAGCTGATAGCGACGACACAAATTATCGATACACAATAGCTTTTTAAACCTGCTTGCATGTGAATACTAGCTTCTAAGAGTATGATCCGGTCAACGGGATTTAACAAAAACCTTTATTGCGTTTATTTCAATGTTTACAAAGATTTTACCTTCTTTGAGCCCTGGGTTTTGCTATTAGCAAAAAACATCAACTAAAATCTAGAGTAAAAGTAAGAAACAGATAAAATGAAAAACACCAGATAAACATGTTTTACTCATTAAAACTTTTTTAAATAAGAAACTTCTTTAGCTAAATATTTCTTTGCGGATTTCGGCTCATATTGGTATTTCTCGTATCAAAAAGCCAACGATGACATGAATTGTGACGAGCTTATAAAGAATATTTTTGCAAATTTATAAGAATACACTTTTAGAATCGTGTAAAAATATTCTCGCTAAAAGTGTATACGTTTTGAGGTATGAAAATAAATTGCTACAAGTTTTGGAAGAGAATCATATTAACCGTAAACGATTATCGATTTAAACCGATTACTTCACGATAATTTCTTCGCATGGTATTCGGTACGTTACAATAACTAATCCTCAATATTCGGCTACTTCGGATGTTGCCTCAGTAACCACGTTTGTTTTTTGGTTACTTTGGAACTTTAGCAGATTTTAATTCATGGTTAAACCAAATTGCCATTGAAAGTAATGTAAGAGATCCAAATTGGTGAGTAGCCGCTAAATGCATTGGCACATACATTAGTAGGGTAGCAATACCAAGTCCAACCTAAAATTAAAGTGGTGACGAGTTAAAATAATAAAGCTGTTTATTTAAACTATAACTATTTACTTTAAATACTATTTACTTCAACAAAAAGTAATGAGAAATTATCAATTCTAGTATTATAAAGTTAGTGGATACCAATAATTATTTGCGTACTTAAATTAGTATATCGAAAATCTATTTACCTGAGCACAACCAACACCAAGAAAGCAATTCATTGCTATTTTAGCTCTGCGTGGTAAGCCTACAGGTGTAGCTAAGGCAAATGTAACAAGAATGCTTGAAAGTGTTGTAATAGCCTGCATAAATAAAATTATAAAAAACAAATATCATTATTAAACGAAAAGAAAAAAAAAAAATACAAATTACTATAAGTAAATTAAAACAGAAAAAAAAACAAAAAACAGAAACAAATTACCAAGACTCTGTGATTAAACTGAGCCGTTGTCGGATTTTCAAACATGTTTTTCCACCATGGCTTTATTGTTGATAAGTCATCAGGTATCCATTGATCAGCGAATTTGGGAAAAGAATTATAAACTAAACCACCATCCAAACCAGCAACAAAGGCTCCTAATAATACATGTTCACATTTAATTATCGCAAAACAAGAACAAATTAACTTTTCTTGCTTACTTATACACTTTTATACTAATCGCATAAAAGCTTTTTAACCGTTTGTTTTGCAGTCAAATGCTATTGTTAATTAGGGTAAAAAAAAAAAAAAAATGAAAAAAGCGGTTTATTAAACAAATAAAGTAAAAAAGAAGATACTAATATAAGGATAATTAGAATTTTATTATTCATATAGCAATAAAAAGTCATATATGGTAGCTCTTATATAAGTAAAAATTTCAAGTTTTTTCACTTATTAAATGATCCCTTATAGACTAAAAACACCTCTGTAAAAATTTCATACATTTATATAAATATCTAGAAGTAGCCCAAAACTATTAACCATAGAACAGTTGTTCTTGAAAAAAAATCACAGAGAGCATTTATTTTTTATTTTAGTTTATTTTCAATAATAGTTTAATATTTAGATATGTTATTAAAGTTTGTTTTATTTCCACCTCAAAACTTTAATAACTACCCTTTAAAAATTGAAGCACCACTTTTGGCTAACATACTAGAATATAATATTCTAGTATGTTATCTTCTAACTTGACTCTCAAATCTTATGGCCATTCTCTTCCTTCCATTCCAATTAAACAGGTTAACCAATTGTTAAACATTCAAATCACTCCAGCTTCCATTGTTAAAGTCATATCTCGATAAAACTCTTCTAAGGTTTGTGGTCCAAACAACATTCCTGTCATAGCCTTACAAAATTGTTCTCCAGAACTCTCTTCAATTCTTGACTTGACTGAGTCTTGTTTTGATACCTGCTGGAAAATGGCATCTGTTTCATATAGTGAATCTGGGAAAGTTTTTGACATCAAATCGTTTCTTTCTAACTGCTATATTAAAGTCATCCTTGAAGGCCAACACTCTTCTTTATTTCCAGTAACTAGTGGGGTACCTCAAGGTTCTATCCTTGGTCCTGTTTTGTTTCTTATCTACATCAATGATCTTCTCGACAATCTTATATCTAAAGTAGTTCTTTTTGCTGATTATTCAACTTTATACTACTGTCTTGACAAAAAGTCTTCTCTTTTTGATTGCTTAGAACAGCCGATCTTAAATCTGATCTTACTTCATGTAATAGATTTGAGGAGACAAAAAGTTCATGTAATAGATTGCTTACAGTGGCTTGTAAATTTTAACTCCAACAAAACCCAGTTATTTACTGCAAAATACTGCAAAACTATCGCAGTATTGTCACCATTCCTATATTAATGAATGGTAACCCTCTCACTTCTTTATACCTTCTTGGATTATTGTTTATTACTGACCTTTCATGGAAACCATATATACAATGGACTGTTAAATTAGCATCTGCTTAGGTTACTTCTCTTTATCGTGCTTGCTATTTTCTCTATCCTGATTCCATTCTCTACCTCTGCAAATCTCTTATTCGTCTATGTATGAAATACTATTGTCATATTTGGGCTGGTCATGATCTTTCTCTTCTAGACAAGTTCCAAAAATGCATTGTAAACGTAGTTGGACCTGCTCTATCTGCTGAGCTTGAGCCTCTTTTGCATCGTTGTAAAGTTGCACCTCTTTCTCTTTTCTACAAATGCTATCATGGTCGCTGCTCAAAGGAGCTATCATCTTTTATTTTATCAACTAAAACTCAATCTAGTTTGACTCGTCATTCAATAAGTCTCATTCTTTTACTATATCTGTCTCTGCATGCTCTAAAAACTTTTATTTGGAGCCTTGTTGGGAGTGAATCAGAATAATAATAAAAAAAAACCTTAAGGAGTTTCTATTACATTTGTGACAACCATGCTTTAATATATACTAAAATTCAAAATGTTGCATAGTTTATTGTATATTTATTATAGTTTATTATAACAAATGCCATGGGTAACCACTGCACTGAGATTCTAATCAGCAGGGATGCGGAGTCCCAAAAAGGACTCCGGATTTGAAAGTCATAAAAAGATTACCTCATCTAAGTTTTTGGTATCCAGGAGCTCTATGAATATAAATAGGTTTATGGACTAATAATAGGAAAAAGTTAAGACTTTTAGGTTAGAGAAACAATCTTTTTTTGAACCTGAGTTTGAGTCCTTAGGTATAATGGCGGCAAGGACTCCAGGACTCCAGGACTTCGGGCTTAAAAACAATAAGTTTTAAGCCATTAAATCTCATGAATTTTTTTCTTATAGCAGATCATAAGTCAACAAACATGTTTAGAGCTTTTGGACACTACAGATTTGGAAAAAGTAGAGATATAAAGCTGGAGTCCTTTTGGGACTCCAAATTCCTGCTAATCAGCAATACCTGACTCAAAATAAGATGTAAGATCAATAAATTCCCATTAAGCTTGAAGTCGCTTAAAAAGAAAAACTTCAGGACTAAATTCCTGCTAATCAGCAATACCTGACTCAAAATAAGATGTAAGATCAATAAATTCCCATTAAGCTTGAAGTCGCTTAAAAAGAAAAACTTCAGGACTAAATTCCTGCTAATCAGCAATACCTGACTCAAAATAAGATGTAAGATCAATAAATTCCCATTAAGCTTGAAGTCGCTTAAAAAGAAAAACTTCAGGACTAGGCTAGAGCCTATAAACCTCAAAAGCTGCTGATGAAAGTATGTAAAATATTGATGGCAACACACAAATTACAAAATATTTCTGCCTAGTTTATGCCTCACTGAAGCATTATGTGTAAACTGCAACTTGCAAAAGTACATTTTGCAAATGCCTCAGAAGCCTCTTATTCCTATTATGGATTAAACAGAGTTAATACCTGAACCTGATAAATTATCATCTAGAATCTAGATGATATTTTAAATATCTAGATTCTAGATAGGCCACAAATGTTTCCTCTTTTTTTCATCAGAGAATTTTCTATTTTTAAGTCACTTTAAATCTCTCCTAGACTAGAGATTCTCTAATTGAAAGCATGATATTCAGTTCTCACAGGAATTCCTGCTCCCATTACAAATTGATGGCACCTATCTACCATAGAATTATATATTTATAGATTTATATATAAAAAGGAGGATGTATTAGGAATTTTTTTTTTTTGCAAAACAAAGAGAGAATTACAAAAAAAAATTTAAAGATTAAATCAGATTAATAAACAAAAAAAGGTTATGAAAAATTTGAGGAGACAAAAAGTTCAGATATTTTCACTTATGATAATAAAAAAGATGAACAGTATCTCCAGAAGATGAACAGTATCTCCAGCCTTTTAGAAAATTTAAAAAGCCTAACATTGTTTCTATTTTTATTGGTCTTCTTGTTCTAAGCTACAGTGCGGAACATGCTATTAAACTTGGTCAAGATTTTGTTGAAACTTTCGGAAACAAAAGACAGTAAAGCGAATTTAATGGTCGTTGCTTATCATTCAAGGGTTGAATTAAGTGATCGAGATTACAAAAGTACACTATAGTCACTAACTGCATTATAAAACAATCTAGTCAATAACTTCCTTATAAAAATAATAAAACTATAATAGTGTTATTACTTTTATAATGCACTTATAACTTTTATAATTCATTATTTGTTCAAACAACATAAATAATCCTAACTTTTAATTGAGGTAGAAAATCATCTATTGAATCCTATTTCTTTTACAAAATAAAAAAAAAAGAAACTTTAAGAAAGAAATGTCCAGAAATGTTAGAAAAAAGTAAACAGCAAATAACAGTTAGCAGGGATGCAAAGTCGGAGTCCAGGAGTCCTTACTTTTACCACAAGTCCTGCCTGTCATAAAAATTGTTGGGTCTCTGGGAATTTTTTAATTTTATACCATATATACTTTTATATGAACATTTCCTAACTAACCCTTATTAACTTCTATAAGTTTATTAATTTAAATTTGTTGTTTATTAATTTAAATTGCCAACAGTTACATAATTTAAATTTGTTTAGCCAACAGTTACGTAACTTTAAACCAGTATAAGCACAAACACATTGAATAACGATGCGTATGGCAAACCCTCCAGCATATATATTATTCAAAAATATACAATGCTATAGCAGACATTGCATTTAAAGAATAAAAGAGGCGAACCACAACATATGCAGTACACAAAACCTTTGGTGTAAACTGATATCTAGTTACTGAACTATGCTTAGACTATGGTTGTCATTGTCTCGGTTTTTCTGTAGGAGAACACGATAAGAATTTTAATTCTAATTAGTTTAGCGTTTCATTTTCCTTAGAAAAAACTGGTATTAGGTTGGTTAGGCATTAATATTTACACACAGTTGTGGCAAAGTGGTTAGAGTTCTGACTCAGAACCTAGATCTGAGGTTACAAAGTACAAGTGTAGCAATTTCATTGGAATGTCAGAAAATTGATTACAATTCTAAAAACAAATGAGATTTAGTAAAAATAAACATTTTTACTAAATCTAAGCAACCTTATCTTAAAAGTTCATTTTATTGAAATATGCACATACAAAAGTATCCAGGCAGAAAAAAATAATTGAAGTAGATTTTTTTTAAAAACATTTTTTAAATTAAAAATGTTGTAATTTAAAGTAAATTTTCTTAAATACTTTGTCAGGAAACCCTTGGAATTGATTACTGCTTGACAGTGACAAGGCATTGAGTCCATCAGCTTCATAATCACATTATTGTCAATTTTTTCCCATTTGTGTTTCAGAATTTTATATAAATTATATTTACTTGTTGATTTTGACCTGAAATTTGTCGATTAAGGTGTTCCCATAGATGTTAATTAGGATTAAGGCCAGGTCTTTGCAAAGGCCATTCTATTAATTGAATTTTTTTGGTCTTGAAAAAGTCTTTTACAATGGCTAAAGTGTGCTTTGAATCATTATCCTGCTGAAATATCCATCCTCGAGGCATTTTGTCTTTAGCATGTGATAGCATAACATCCCTAATAATATATCTTTGTACATATTTTTGACCATTATGCCATAAATCAATTGGATAGGACCAACACAATCTCTATCGAAGCAACCCCAGACTATAAGGTTTCCAGCTCTTGATTTACTGTGTTTAGGATTGTTTTTATGGCCTTTTGGTTGACGAATGTATTTAATACCATCAAATCCAAATAACATAAACTTAGATTTATCACTAAAAAGTAGTTTCTACCATTGTTCTCTTGACCAATTCAAATGTTCATTAGCAAATCTCAAGTGTACTTTTTAATTCTTTATAGAAATAAAAGGTTTCTTTGCAGATGTCTTCCAAATAGATTTGCACACCTTAAACGATGCTTGGTTGTGTCAACACTACATTTTGCATTATGAAATTCTTTCATTTCAGCATTTAACAAGACAGCATTTTTGCGTGGATCATTTTTTGTGGCACAAATTAAAATTTTATCTTGTCTTTCGGATCTAATTCGAGGCCTTCCTAACTTTATAGAGATTCTATTGTTAATTTCTTCCTTATATCTTTTATATATATATATATCCACTAATGTTGATTATCCTATATCAAACTGATCTGCTATGTCTCTTGCATTTCTGCCTTGTTCAATTGCATGCAATACCGCTTCTTTGTCAGCTAAACTTGTATATTTTCACATTGTCATTTTTAAAATTTGTTCAAAACAATCTTCTTTTTAATTAAAAATATTTTATACTTTATTTTACATTTTTAAACATTAAATAAAAGCCAACAAAAATATTGGAATTTTATTATTTTAGTTCTTCCCGAATACTTTAGCACGCTCATATTTCAATAAAATAAACATTTAAAATTAGATTTCTTAGATTTAGTAGAAATTCATTTGATTTTAGAATTGTAATGAATTTTTTGAGATTCCAGTAAAAATTTGAAAGAAATTGGACTTTTCATTCAAAAGTTATCTCAAGTTGTGAGTTTGTCTGGTTACTTTTGCATGCTACTGTATGTTATTTTAAAAAGGGTATAAAATAAGAGAAGGCTGATGCGTGGAGAAACAAGTTGAGCGCGGTAAACAAACTCGGAACTTTTTCCTTACCACACAAGTTCTCTACCACTAAACCACTACTGCATGTAAACTTAAAATTAACAAATTTTTATATAAAGTAATAAAATATATATACAGTAATAAAATATATATACAGTAATAAAATTTTTAGGCAACTTTAGAACAACTGTAATTTTAACTTAGCAAATTCATCCAAAAATGTTTAAAAAGTGACACTTTGTCATAAGTTTTTATAAACAGTAGTTTATAAATTTTAGATTTATCAAAAAAATAAAATTCCAAATTAATTTTGCAACCTCTGAAACTAAAAGGTCAGCTGTTAGGTCATCATTGCCTATTACCAACACTAATGCTGAGTGTTTTCAACGCGAAAAAAAAAATGGGGATTATCTAAAACAAATGTCAATAAGAATATAGCCTACACTTCTGTTGGTGAAATGTTATATTTATTCCTTTTTATTATTTTATTTTTAAACTGCCATTTTAAAATGATCTGAAACAGTAAGAAATACTGTATTACAAAAAAAAACAATTTTGAAATATATTTAATTGGTACACGACATAATTGAAATAGTTAAGTTTTATAATCATCTATTTACAATTAAACAACTTTCAGGCCTTCTTGTAAGAGGAGTGCGATCGCAGGCGTGCAACTCGCAAACGGACTCGCAACGGAGTGCTGCTACATTGACTGAGGGTTAGGTTTGGGCAGGCAGTCTATCAAATAATTCAAAAAAAATTATTATGCTTAAAATAATGCATTATAATAATTTTTTTGGCGGATGTAGTTACATAAAAAAAAAATCAAATGCGTAACTACATCTGGTTAAAATTATGCATTTAAAAAAAAAAAAAAAAATTGGATGTAGTTACATCCAAAAAATCTACAGATGTAGTTGCACGGATGTTATTATACATCAATGAAATTTGGGATGTTATTGCACGGATGTTATTATACATCAATGAAATTTGAGGTGTTGTTGCACGGATGTTATTATACATTGATGAAATTTCGATTGTTGTTTCACGGATGTTATTATACATGGCAAAAACTGATGTTATTGCCATTAAAATTCTACTGTGACGTCAAATACTAAAACTTTTATGAACTAAAGACACTTCAAAGGAATCGCCAAAGTCTGTAGATTGCGACGTATAATTTAAAGACTCCGAGTTATTGAAAAAAATGAAGAAGGCGAGCTTTGGCTAAAACAAAAGGATTATTTTTCCCTGGCTATGCATTCATTATTTATTTTTAATAAAAAAAAAACTTGGTTCAAACCCTTTTTTTTAACATTATCTTTAATATGAACACAACATGGGTTAGGAGTTTGGGATCCCTTTAATACCTTAAAACTCTGTTTAATTGATTTTAAAAAGTTAAAAAAAAAAAGTTTGCACTCCAGAGTCCCTAAAAATCAATATGACTTTGTATTCCTGAAGTAAGTACTAAAGTTCTTATGCAAGCAAAGGTAAAAGATCTAATTATCAACTACATATAAGATAACAGTGATGCAATTACTAATTGCTTAAAACTTTTATCATGTTTCAGCCTAAAGATCTGATGCTGTGGAGAATAATATTCAAGTTTCATTGAGGGGTAGACTTGATGGAATTATACAAATGATGTCATATGTCAACTTTTGGAGCCAAGAGTAAAAAAAAAGTTCCTCCAAATTTTGGATTAACTGAAGTTTTGTCATTTCAAACAATGGAACTGGAGGTATAAGAAGAAACAATTTATGAAACCTGATGCTCTGTATGAACTTTAAAAGAAAAAAAAACTCCAAAAGATAAAATATTTTTAAGATTTAATTTAAACTTTAGCTGCTTGAAAATACTTTTTTTTTGCTTGATATTTTTTGTATTTTAAATACATTTTAGACCAAATATTTGTTTTTGTATTTTAAATTTTTACATTGCCCCTATCTATATTAGTGAGTCAAAGCATACGTGCTTTATCTTCAGGCGGTGTTAGTACAAACTACAAATACTAATGCTACCACTGCAAATTTAAAAAGCGTTAGACATTCATAGGCAAACATTCAACATCCATGTTTTATATCATTAATGGTTCATGACTTATTTTTAAGTTAAAAGTAGTTTATAAACAATTTCAAAACAATCGAAAAAACAATTTCAAAAACTAATTCCAACACAATTCCAAAAACGATACCAAAAAAAATCTGGGCTATAATTAATCAAAGTGATTTTACTAGAAAATCTGCATCAAAGCTTACTTTAAATTTAAAGATGACAGGATTGGGAGCTACGAGAGACGTGAACTTCAAAAATATTAAAACAAATCACTTAAAACTAAAGTATGAGTTTTAAACTTATTTACTATTCATGTAATCATTTTTGAGCAGTGGTAAAAATATAAGATTTCTAGCGTACATTTTAAACATTAGAAAGGAAGTTTCCCTAAGATTAATTATTTACAAGAAATTCTTTTGTATTCCTACAAATGCCTCGAAATAACACTTAATAATGTTTAAACTCATTAATAAGTTTTTTGCACATTATTGTATATTTCAGAAAAAACACATTGCAAATGATAATAAATGTTTTAGTAAAACTAACATCAATTAAACAGTTCCATTGCTCTTTTAATTGTATCAAAACAAAATCTCTTTGTTATTGTTGCTCTGATTTGTTCTTGATCTGCAATTTTGTTTCTGAAAACCACAAACTGCGGCTTTGGTTACTTGTTTTATAAATCTTGAGTGACTGGGTGTGGAGGAAGTAAGCAATTGTCAATGGTATTTTTAATAACAACAATATCATAGTAAGAATACAAAGAAAAATATTTTTCAAAGTAATAATAATGGTAAATAACAAATACCTGACACAGCAGTTAGAAAGGTAAGGGTCATAGAAGTGTGAGCAAACTTCTTGATTCTTGAAATTTGTGGAGTATATGTTATCTAAAAATATTGTAATTAAAATTAGGTCTATGCATTTTATGCATATATTGCATATATGAGATCTATATGTTATCTAAAAATATTATAATTAAAATTAGGTCTATGCATTTTATGCATATATTGCATATATGAGATCTATAACATAGACTTTTTATTATATAGATTACTTTGCCTTGAAATTATTTCATAATGATAAAAATCTATCAAAGCAAAAAAAGCATTTTCAAAATCCTTTTTTTCTCTAAATTTAGGTCTGTACTAAATAACCTAAAAGTACCTAAATCTGAAGAAGACAGACCTAAATCTGCAGAAGAGTAAAGAGTTACTACATAATTAGAATATCCATAACAGTGGAAAGCTCTAAAGTCATATTCAGTATACAATGTTATGTTACAAGTAACATTTTTATGCTACAATACTTTGTTTTTGATTACTGTAACAGTTTACATGCTATCTGTTACTCAACCTGATCATACATCTTACAACAACTAGAAGTAGAAAAGATATTAAACTCAAATTACTTCATACATCATGAAGTTCATACGTCTTACAACAACTTGTCAGATTTAGAAACTTTGGTAATCTGGAGATTATCTAGAGATAATTAAAATTAAAAAACTTTCAAATTAATTTTAAAATTTATCTCTCTTACAGCTATAACCCTAAAAGTTGTAATAAAACAAATAGATCACTTTTTATTATACCATTAATTTTTTTCTTGAAGAAACTTTTGTGTGAGGTTTTAATTTTAGAAGTTCAAAAACAGCTCTGCTGTGAGACATTACATATCCTATCTATATAAACAGGCTATACAAAAAAAAAAAAAAAAAAAAAAAAAAAAAAAATGAAACAACACTTTATTCAACAAATAATGTTATTAAATAAACTTTATACTAACAGCATTTTCTTTTAGTATATGAGACAAAGCTTGCCATAATAGTCCAGAATAAACAACAAAAGCTAATCCTAGATGAGCTGCAAGTCTGTACTGACTAACACGAGGAGAATCAGTATTAGCAGCAGTTTCTTCTTTCAAACCACTTTTTACCATATACCAACCTAGCAGCCCCTAATACAAAAAAAAAATAAAAAATGTTTATACATCATAAACATTTTAGGTTAATCAATTACAATAATCTCATTTTATTTTTTACTTGATATTATCTGTTTATATACAAATAAATGATACGCATTTAAAGATCATATATAGATTATTATAGATTAGTGTAAATTTTTAATAAATAATAAATCTAATGAAAATAAATCTTCAATAGCAGCAATGCATTTTATGTATTACTGTGACTAGTAGAAGAAAAAATTGAAAAACAAGAACAAAAACAATTTTAATCCCAACAAGGCTGCAAGCAACCACTATTAGTGAGGGAAATAAGAGTAAATATTCAGTAAAATATTTTAAATTGTGATAACAGCTTGAAACTTTCAGGAAATTGTCTATGAATTAAAGGAATCCAAAATAAAAAGATCCTGTTCTAAAAATATATTTTAATCTTATAAAACTACCTAATCTTATAAACCGATGATACAAGGTTGCATTGAGAGCAGAATTTAAAGAAACAACTTCAAATAAATAACTATACAACATTACTAATTGAAATAAGATTAAAAGCATAAAACAAAGTTAAATTTTATATATTTTGATGAAGTAAAACAAATTTTTCTCAAAATTTGGTATAAGATAATAAAAATGAGATTTATTCATTTTATTACAAACACTGACCAAGACATTCACATAGCTCTGTGCAGCTTAATTCTGAACATTTACATTTGCATTGCATTTTGCAACTAATCTTGCATCCACAATTTATTAACTCTACACATGATTCTGATGTCTTAAGTAGATTCTTCTGCAAAGGTGTCATTGCATTATTTGCTTTTTTCCACCCCATTTATTAGCATCAGGTAAAATCTGTTGTGGCACCAAGTATTGTTCCCATATGAAACTAAATGAATAATTATATGTAAATATTATTTTTTAATATTTGATTCAATAAAATTTTTTGAATGGACTTATAAGCCCATTTAAATGTTAAAAAAAAAATATGCACCTTCCTTGAAACACTACTTTTTTTAAATACTGTATAATTGTGTCTTGTAGATGGCAACTTTTTACTCTTTTGTGACTTTTTATTGAACAGCATTATGTGGCATATTACAAGATCAATAGTGGAACTTGTCTTATCATAGAGTTATTTCACCTGATCTAATGCTCAAACTGCATCAGGTGAAATAACTCTAGTATTTGGAGATGACAAACTAAATAATAAAATAAAACAACATATTTTACTTAAATTGCACAAAAAAGCAGCCTATAAATAAATAATTTTATAAGTTAGCAGCTAACAAATCTATAGTTAATGCCTTTTTACAATTATATAAACATAGGTTACCTGCAAAATGCTCTAATAACATTCATGTTAAAACATATTAAAATTTCTTATACTGAAACTCTTAATAAGTAACAAGACTATTGCATGTAACTCCATAGCATGTAACTCCATAGCAGTAACCAATAATTAAAATGGGTATATACTGTTCTTTGTTGATGGATCCACAAGTCAAAGAAAGTTGAAAATATTTTTTGGAATGCTTCAGTCAATAGTGAATAAAAATCAGACAATGAAACCTGACCTGCATACCCTGAACATTTTACTTTTCAACCAGTAAACATAAATTCAGCTTATCCAGAAGTTGTTGTAGTAGCTTTAGTTATGGCATCACACCAACCACTGCATTTTAACCTATCTCCAAAACAAAGATAAGGAGGTCATTTCTGTGTAACCCACCCATCATCATTAAAAGTTTATCCTCATCATACAGTTCCAGGTAGTGCCATTGAACATGTTTACCTACTGCTTACACTGGTTTGTCAGCAGTTAATATGGGGACTTGATTTAGGTTGATTTTTGCCAAAACCTTTTAAACTATATTAAAAGTTTGTCTTACCATAAATGTTGAGTTAATTGATTCATTAACAATTGGAAACAACACAGAAGTATTTTTTATTTTCTGTTTATCTATGCTTGTCTTTGATAAAAATTCAAATTTTCTGAAAAATTGAAATTTAGAATATTTCCTGAAAGTTTCAAGCTGGTATCACAATTTGAAATATTTCTTATTTCCCCCACAATTAGTAGTTGCTTGCAGCCCAATAAATTTGTGCTGTTTTTTCTCCTTTTGATTTGTTTTGTAAAACTTTAACTACAGCTGTGTGACTCTCTCGAGTCACCAAAAGCATCTAAGTATTCAAATTGGTGTTTTATCAAGTTCAATAGTTACTTGAGTTAGATTTTTATTGTCCACCTTCCCACACAAAAAACAATTTTCTTGATAGTTGTTAGCCTGAAACTTTGACCTTGTACCATGGCTTGGGATTGATAGTTCTTTTGTCACATCAAATATCTTTCTTTGTTTAGGCACTCTCTGGTGGTGATAGTTATCAAAATTTGTGTAATATTTTTTGTGATTTAACATATTATTGTAGCAAAGTTGTTGCAGCAAATCTTCACATTGCAGTGGGGAAGTTAAACCAGCTGACAAACTACCTGTATAAGATAAATCTGAACTTTCAGCAAAATATTAGTCTTTGAGATAAATACTCTCCACTCATATAATATAAAGATATACAGAATATAGAGGGTTGCTTTAAACAAAGTTTGACTAAATTTAGTTTAAGAGTATCAAAAAGAAAATTTGCTTCAACAATTGAGAAAGCATGACAGCAGAACATAATTTATATATAAGAAGACAATGTCAGCCTTTATCTGATAAATTCAACTAACTTATCCACTGTCAAAAATAAAATGCATCAAAAAAATATATTTTTGTTATATAATCAAACATCTTTGAACTTCTCGAGGTATATATATTTAATCAATATCATATATATTTAATCAATATCATCTCTGGATTCTACTAGTTGTGTTCTACTTGATAACTGCCAAACAGGTTGATCCATTGCTTTATATTCATATCACTCCAACTTTTGTATGTAAAGTGATTTCCTGCTTAACCTATTATAGTCTTGCAGAAGTGTTCTCCAGAGCTGTCGTCTATCAAAACTATTCAACAAGTGCTTATCAGAGTCTTATTTTACAGCCTGCTGTCTTGAAAATAGGAATAACAGATGTCAAAACTGCATCTGTTATTTCTGTTTTCAAAAATTCTGGAGAGCGATCTGATTCGTCTAACTACTGTCCCATTAGTCTTCTTCCTATTATAAGCAAGGTTTTTGAATCTTTAATTAACAAACACTTAATCTCTCATCTTAAATCTAATAAATTACTTTCTGATCATCAAAATGAAATTCGATCTTCTGTTCTACGGCTGATTTGATTACAGTAATAACCAATAGGTTTTATCGTGCATTAGATAAAGGTGGAGAGGTCAAGACCATCGCTCTTGACATTTCTAAAGCTTTTGATAAAATTTGGCATGTTGGTCTTCTCCATAAGCTTTCTTCTTACGTGTATCTAGAAACATCTTTAAGATTATTGAATCCTTTCTTTCCAATCATAGTATAAAAGTTGTCCTTGAAAAACAGCACTCTTCTTCTTATTCTGTAACCTCAGGGGTTCCTCAAGGTTCAATCCTTGGCCCTGTACTTTTTTTAATTTACATTTACGATCTTCCAGATATTCTCACATCTAAGGTGACATTGTTCACTGATGATACTACCATTTATTCTAGTCATGATAAGAAGCCAACACTCTCTGATTGCTTGGAGGGGGTATTTGAGCTTGAAAAAGATATCACTTCTGCTACAGCATGGACCTCACACTGGCTGGTGAACTTTAATTCAGATAAAACCCAATTTTTATCAGCCAATTGTAATCGAACTAATTTTGGACCTTCCTATATTTATGAAAGGTAATGTACTCAATGAGTCATCTACCCTTCATCTTCTAGGATCAACTCTTACTTCCGATCTTTCTTGGAAACCAAATATCAAATCCATTGGAAAATTTGCATCTGCTAAGGTTGCATCTCTTTATTGAGCTCTACAGTTTGTTACTCCAGATTCTATTCTCTATCTCTATAAATCTAAAATCTGGCCTTGTATGGAATACTGTTGCCATATCTGAGGCGGATCTTCTAATGATGCCCTTTCTCTTTTAGACAAGGTGTAAAAACGCATGGTAAACATAGTTGGAATGGCTCTTGCAGCCAACTTTCAACCAATTATCACATCGTCGTAATGTTGCTTCTCTTTCTCTTTTCTACCAATACTATAATGGGCTCTAAAGAGCTAGCGTCTCTTGTGCCATCTACTAAAATTTATTCTTGTGTTACTTGTCATTCAATTAAGTCTCATCCTTTTACATTCAGGAAAGTTACTAATAACAAACATTTTTCTTGTTTACTTGTCTAAAATAATATAGAATTGCGTTTTTTGCAAAATTTTTACAGTATGACCACATGCATTGTTTCCATTGTTATTTAAAGCTGATTTTACACTAACAGGCGATTCATAAGTCTTTGCCAATATTTTTTATGCCTATATCTTGAAGTAATTGCAACTTATTCTATATTTTTTAGATTTTTTTTAGATTTTATTTCTTACATAAAAAAATAATAAAAAAAATAAAGTTTTATCTTAATCACAAGTGAAATGGTCCTGAAAGAGAAGCTATCAATAAAAGAATTGTAAGTTACTATTTAAATGTTGTCAATGGTAATAAAAATAAATACTTAAAATACGAAAAAAAAAAAAAAACTGAAAAAAAAACTGAAAAAAAAACAACTGAAGATTTACCAAGTGGCCACATTGTCAAAGAGAGCCTGAGGTTAAGTTAAGTCTCTTTGATCCATAAATTCTTGTTTTATAATCTGATCCAGGTTCTATGATCTGGCAAAGTTTAGATCTAAGATCTGGTAGAGTTAAAATCTTTTAAAGATGAAAAAAGTCAGAGAACTGAGGCTAAAAAAATTAATATTTGACAAAGTATAGTAAGTCGATATTTGAAGAAAAAAGGAATTAAATATAGAAAATAAGTAAAAGCATCATTATTAAGTAAAAAACAGCGTGCAAAAATTATCAGAGCCTTAAGA